TCCCAACACAACTCCATAATCTTGTGTTGCGTCGAACGTGCCACATGTGGACGTGCATTGTTGTCGAGAAAAAGAACACTTTTCCGACTGACGAGTTGAGGGCGTTTCTGATGAAGGGCTTGATTTAAACGCTCTAGTTGCTGACTATAGATCTCTGCATTGACAGTTCGCTGTGGATTGAGGAGTTCAAAATGTATTACTCCTTTGATGCCCCATCAAACACAAAGCATCACTTTCTGCAGATGGAGTCCAGGTTTTGGGGTCGAAAGTGGTTTTCGTCTAGGATTGAGCCATTGTTTTTTGGCATTTAATATTTGCATAGAGAATCTATTTTTCATCACCGATTACAATTCTGTCCAAAAATGGTTCATTCGCATTACGCACCAGAAGAGACAAAGCAACGTTCACACATTTGGAAACGATGATCATCGGATAGTTCGTGAGATACCCAGACACCTTCGTTATGGAGTTTTTTACTTAAATGTTTACGTATTGTTTCATGAGAAGCATGCAATTTCAGGAACATTTCATATATATATATATATATATTGTGAGACAGTGAAGCCAGTAAGTGAAATTGCTTTGCAACAAAGTCGCCAATCACTTATCATTCCCCATGCCTTTTTTATTGCAAAGGTGGAAGATTGTATCAGAATTTAAATAATTCATTTTTAAAAATAACTGTCACATCGCTTGTTAGAATTTGAAAATACTATCGTGCTTTTGGATTATATTCTTGAAAATGAACTCCAGAACGCTTAAAAAATATAGAAATTGCATTGACAAAATCTTCTTTAACATTCAGTTTGCTACCGTTTAGAATCTGTTATATACACTACTAGAAAAAGCCTGCAAAAGCGACATATCAATAAAGTCTTTAGGGAGGAGGAAGAAGGCTGATCTCGTGTGGGCCCCCAAATTCAGCTAGGAACCATGCTACATGACGTAATTTGTGTATTTGTGTTAATCCGGTCTGACTAGAAGTTTTTCACAGAAACTGCCATTTGGAGCCCCCTTACCCAAATTACGCCCCCGACCAAAAGTATCCGGCAATACCGGGCTTAAATATTAATTGCTGGCCGCCTCTTCCACTATTTTGAGCAGTAGCACAAGAACCATATATGCGTCGCGAAAGTACTCGTGCTACGCGCGGTATTAAACGTCTGTTTCGTTGAGCGTCAGCTGTACGTATTTTCCTGCAGACCACCTCGCTTAGTTGAGCCCTCATTCGCGGCATTAAGGCGATAAAACCGAAAAGGGGCAAAACACGAATTGACCTTTCTTGGTCCACGCAAGAAAAGGCATAAATACCAATAAAGAATTCAAGCAACCCACTGTAAGATCCAAATTCATGCTACATCATCACAATTCGTAGATGATGTTGCAATTTGGAAGAGTTCCACAAACCCGATAACAACAACATATAACCTTCAACCATTATCAAACGATAGGGGAGAATTCTGTAATAAATGTACAATCAAAATAAATGCTCTAAAGACCAAAATAATATTTTATACCAAATTAGTTAAAATAAGCAGGACAAAGCCAGAACTATACTTAGATGGAACTCTACTTCAGGTAGCAACATCGGCTAAATTCCTAAGATTATTATAAATTCCAAAGTAACCAGGTATGAAGTTAATTACAAGACGTGTCTTAGAGACGTTAGCCATGCTGGGGAGGCATATTCGATGTATTGTATATCTTAAGCATGTTGTTTGTCGATATCCTCCGTTATTTTCAGCTAGACCCCAAATTTGACTAGCTCTTCGCCACTCTTTTGTTCTGATACAAAGAGGAGAAGGTCATGTATGATGTAGCTGTCTAGGTTACTTAGAAGTCCATTTTTGCCTAAATCTTTCTTGAATCTGTGGTTGAGCTAGTTAGGAGTATTTCTGGCAATAACGGGATAGATACTAGAGTACTTATGCAGAAAAGCAATGTTTGTTGTATACAGTACTCTGTAATTTTGTCAGAATGTAGTTTGTATTTTTTTAAAATATAGTAAATAGATGTAAACGAAAATGTCATTTGGTGCTAGGCTCACGGTCTTTTAGTTGAAGAGTTAGTTTTATTTAAAAAAAAAAAAGAATACTTAAGTGTGCAAATACAACTATTTATATATGTCGATTCGCAGAAGTGAAGCTGTTTTGTGTGTAAAGAACTAGCTCTATGTGATAACTGTACCCAATACATGAACATGCCA